TGGGGTACAGGAGGAGACAGCACTGGATCTAGCTGTATCCAAAAGAATCCATTTTTAGGAATCCCAAGGCTCCCTGCAGTTCTAAGCTTGCTTTTACATGGGGCAACTTTTTTTAATAGTTTGAAACGAGTTAACCCAGTTCCTCTTAACTTTCTTCCCAAATTTTCTTGCCGCTTTTCCCAAGTTTACGTGGTTGTCTGTATATCTCCGGAGAAGTTCTTTAGTATAACCTATTCTTTGTGTTCCCCCATTCGTTACCTAAATTTCGTTAAGTTTTTGTTCTTTTCATACCACTCATAGGGCGAGTGCTCCTAATATCTCTCCTTAATTAATAAGAGACAATCATCAGCCGAGAGCTTTAAGGACTGTTTCTTCCCTTCTCCCCCCCAACCCCAGGTCACAGCGCCTCTGATCTTTGCCATCTCCATTGCTACAATAGGCTCTTTCCAGTTTGGCTACAACACCGGAGTCATCAATGCTCCTGAGATGGTGAGTGCCAGGTGACCAGAGTTAGAATTTGGAATAGGTAAATTATTCCTTTAAGTAGGGTTTCAAGAATGAAGAATTTCAGACAAACTTGGTATCTCGCTTGGTGAAGGCTGAAGAGGCAGAATAACATTGGTGGGGAAGTCTAAGTGAATCATTAAAGCAAAAAGCTCATTTGCTCCCCATACCCTTGACTGGACTGTATCCATGCTTCCCCTCACGCTATCCTGATACACTTCCTTTACTATGCCTCAGGGGTTAGTTACAAGGAGGGTGGGAGGGTCTTAGGGGAGGACAGGGGTAGTCACTGAACATGAGTGCTAACTACCTACTGGGATTTTCAGGACAAATCAAAATTGTTCTTTTCAGAGCTACCACGAACCTCCAAAGGTTCTCTGTCTGTTCCATCCCCACCCGTTCATTTACTTGATTCTCTACCAGTCATTGTAATGCTGTTTTCTTAGGGAGGGGAAGATCCCCGATATTTGCCCCTTCTCATTCAGCTGTAACAGTCTGCCCACCAGTCATTTTAATTGGCAGATCATAAAGGACTTTCTCAATTACACCCTGGAGGAGACGTTGAGCGACCGTCCCACTGAGGTGTTACTCACTTCCCTCTGGTCCTTGTCTGTGGCCATCTTCTCCGTTGGTGGTATGATTGGCTCCTTCTCCGTTGGACTCTTTGTCAACCGCTTTGGCAGGTATCGACCAGAAACTGGGCAAGGAGGGGGGCTATACTGGTTGCACTGAGAACAGGTATTGGGAATTAGGATGGGGAGGTGATGATGCATTTGAATGAGAGCGCCCCAAATTCCCATGGAGGCAAATTTAGGCCAACTGGTACTGAATAGGGCTGCTTGGAGCTCGGCTGCCCATCAAGAGATTACCCTTTGAGTGCAGCTGAAGCTACTTCAGTACTTTCTGCAATAAAGTGCACTATGGAATTTCCCAGAAGCCTACTTGATTTACAAGGTCAGAAGTTGTTAGCTTTTCTTGAAAAATTTGGGATTTCATGCTTGTGTTTACAAGCCAGGATTGGGAGGAAACATTTTATAATCCTTGCCCTGTGGCAAATATGGATAATGGCCAAATAACTGACATTTTCCCCCCCCCAAAAGAAAATTGAAACTTCTCATTCTTGCTGACTTAATAAAATGTCTTAGCAGAATACTTTCAGTAATGACTGGTGAAGAAACCATTTCAATTGCTAATTTAGACGTTCAGGAAACACAAATAGAATTCACCCTCTAAAAAACTTTAAAAGCAACCCATTTTATTTGATGATGTTTGGTGTTTGTTCTGTTTGCATTTTTTTTAAAGATTTTATTTATTTATTTGAGAGAGAGAATGAGAGACAGAGAGCACGAGAGTGAAGAGGGCCAGAGGGAGAAGCAGACTCCCTGCTGGGCAGGGAACCTGATGCGGGACTCGATCCCGGGACTCCAGGATCATGACCTGAGCCTAAGGCAGTCGCTTAACCAACTGAGGCACCCAGGCGCCCAATTGTGTTTGCAGTTTTTGAGGACACCTTGTGTCTGCTAAAGTTATTGAAATTTTAATGTGGCCCTCCCATACTTCAGTGACTTTCTTCCTATCTTTATTTTATTAGCAAAAGAACCTGATAGAGGAAGTAGGGAAACCAGGAAAGGAATGCAGAGAAAGGTAAAAGTGAGCATGAGGGATGAAATTTTTCTCTTAACAGCAGGTTCTCTCCTTTGGCTGCACGTTTAGGATCTCCCAGGGAGCTTTTAAAAGTACCAGCGTTTCACAAATAATACACTATATGTAAAAAAAGAAGAAAATAAAAGGAGGAAAAGAATGAAGGGGGGTAATCGGAGGGGGAGATGAACCATGAGAGATGATGGACTCTGAAAAACATACTGAGGGTACTAGAGGAGAGAGGGGGTGGGAGGATGGGTTAGCCCGGTGCTGGGTATTAAGGAGGGCACGTTCTGCATGGAGCACTGGGTGTTATACGCAAATAATGAATCATGCAACACTACATCAAAAACTAATGATGTAATATATGGTGATTAACATAACATAATTAAAAAAAAGGACCAGCGTTTCAGAACTCCCCAGTTACTTCCAGCAGGCCACCCAAGGGCAGAGTCCCAGAAGTATCTTCCAAATATCTGCAGTGAGTTTTCACTGTTAATCTCTTCCGTCTTCCTCTCGTTGTTTCCGTGGCTTTGCCTCCCACGTTTAACACATAGATTCAGTAATTTATTATTTTCTACTGGCTATCAATACTTACTGTAAGTGGCCTTCACCACAGGGTAGCCGAGAGCCGGAGAGCTGAAGCTGTCTACCTTTCTGCGCATAGAAAGCTTTTGTCTGAAATCTGTTCTCATTAGTATGTTGGTGCCATCTAAGCAGCTATATTGCAACAAAATGCAGTAAGAAGCATCAAAATTTCAGCACGGGTCCGGAAATTTCTCTTGAGTGTGTTCGTGGACCAGCTGTATGAGAATTGCCCAGGGCAGTGGTTCTCGGACCTTAGCTAGAATCAGATCACCAGGACGGCTTTTGGGAACAGATTGCTCGGTCCCAGAGTCAAACCTAATGATTTACTAAATTGGGGTGGGGTGGGACAGTTTTAATTTCTTGCCCATTTCTAGCTGATGCTCTTAGTTTGTGGACAACTTTGAGAACTACTGGCCTTTGTGCTTGCTACCACCCTGGCTACCGCTGGGAATTAAAAGAATCTTAAACAAGTTCTCTAGGTGAGTTTTATGCCTACAGAGGTGTAAGAACCATTGATCTTAGCCCAACTGGAAATGTTCTGATAACAGAAAGAGGAGAACTTCAAACCGGAAGAACAGATAACATGAGCCTGGAGAAGGGTAGAGAGATCAGGAAAGAGAGAAGTTTTGGCCTGGCCTATGTTGCTAACTTCTCTTGTTTTTTAACCTTTTCAGGCGCAATTCAATGCTCATTGTCAACCTCTTGGCTGTCGCTGGTGGCTGCCTTATGGGGTTCTGCAAAATAGCCCAGTCGGTTGAAATGCTGATCCTGGGCCGCTTGGTTATTGGCCTCTTCTGCGGCCTCTGCACAGGTTTTGTGCCCATGTACATCGGCGAGGTCTCTCCCACTGGCCTCCGGGGGGCCTTTGGCACTCTCAACCAGCTGGGCATCGTCATCGGGATCCTGGTGGCTCAGGTACTCTAGACCTCATACTTAATGCGTGTCAGTTTCTGGGCAGGAACATCTGTCCTATATTCAACTATATGTCAGTTTCAGGTATTATTACTATCGCTCACAGGTGGCTAAAGAAGCAGGCAGGGTAGAGAAAGGAGAAGAAACAGAATGTGTCTTTTCCTGTGGTAAAAGAAGGGATGATTTTCTGAAAACTTTTTCTGATTTATTTTTGCGAGAGAGAGAGAGCACATGTAAGGGGAGGAGGGCTAAGGGCGGAGGGAGAAGCAGACGCCCTGCTGAGCAGAGAGCCCAGTGCAGACTGGATCCCAGGACCCTGGGATCCTGACCTGAGCCAACGGCAGATGCATAACCGACTGAGCCCCCCAGTTTTTTTAAACTGACTTGTGGCTTATATAAAGTATGAGCTTTATAAAGTATCATCTTTATCTGGTTTCTAGATCTTTGGTCTGAAAGTCATCATGGGGACTGAAGAGCTTTGGCCCCTGCTTTTGGGCTTCACCATCATTCCAGCTGTCCTGCAAAGCGCAGCCCTTCCGTTTTGCCCCGAGAGTCCTAGATTTTTGCTCATCAACAGAAAGGAAGAGGAGAGTGCTAGGGACAGTGAGTATCCTTCACACCTTCGCTGTGGGAATTTTGGCGTTGTGGTTTGTTTCAGGATGAGGGCATTAGATCTGTGTTCTGTCCGCTCCTTTCCTGGCCCCTCTGGATCCAAGCTGGAGACTCTCCTGATTGCTCTGGAGTGAGAAACTTTCCACCCCGAAAGAGTGGAGTGAGAAGGAGGTTAAGGCACAGATGCTAATGGATGAGCCATATCCGGGGCTCATCTAAGTGTGGCTTCTTCCCAGCTGTGTTATAGGGAAAATGAAGTTGGGACAGCACCTTATCTTTCTCCTTTGTCTGTCTGTCTGTTTGACCAGTCCTCCAGCGATTGTGGGGCACCCAGGACGTGACTCAGGACATCCAGGAGATGAAAGATGAGAGCACCAGGATGGCACAAGAGAAGCAAGCCACGGTGCTGGAGCTCTTCAGGTCACGCAGCTACCAGCAGCCCATTATGATTTCCATCATGCTCCAGCTGTCCCAGCAGCTGTCTGGAATCAATGCTGTGAGTAGCTACTCTGTGTCCCAGGGGGTCCCGCACACAGTTCACGCACCTGCCTGAGGGGCCTGCTCACCTCCTTACACCTGCAGAGTCCCCACGATGCTCGCCCCGCAGCAGCCACTCCAGAAATACTGATTATCCAGGTTTTGACTTGGTTTCGTATTTTAAGTTTATTTACTTAATCTCTACACGCAACCTGGGGCTCAGACTCACAACCCCGAGATCAAGAGTCGCATGCTCTTCCTACTGAGCCAGACGGGTACCCCTGTTTTTATTTCTTTAAAATTCTATCTGCAGTACATGTTTTCCATGTGGGAAAAATAAGTAAATAAATGATAAAACGAAAAATTCATCACCTTTTGTCTTGGACCTTATGGTCAACATTGTCCTCTTTCAAACTTTTTTCATTATGTAGGACACGACACATTTATCTGCTTTTCATTAATCCTCCTTCTGACCACTCATTTTTTATTTCCAGTTGTCTTTTACAAATCTGATCAGTCTTCTCTGATGTCATCAGTGATAAGGCAGGCCATACAACTAAAGTCGATCCAAGAATTTACATGCTGTGGCTTTTTTCCAGGACTTCACAGTCTAAAAAATATCATTATAAAGCCCTGGGGAATAAGTAGGCAATGAATTCAAGAGGTCTGGGGATACACTGGGAACTTCAGATAGAGCGGGCCTTCCTAGTCTGTCTGTGTTGTTACAACCAGAATAGTGACTCTGATAGTTGGAAGTGGGGAGCAAAATGGAAGGTGACATTTGGCAGGTAGCTTGAATTCTCTGCAGATATTACCTTCCAGCTTTTGGATCCTAGTGGTGGTAAGAGAGGATATTCCTATACCTTCTGTCCATTTGCAGATAAAATTTTTGGATATGAAGCATACTCTTGTTCCGATTCATGCCCAGAGGGTTTCTCATCAGTCTTTTTTTTTTTAATTTTTATTGTTATGTTAATCACCATACATCACATCATTAGTTTTGGATGTAGTGTTCCATGATTCATTGTTTGTGCATAACACCCAGTGCTCCACGCAGAACGTGCCCTCTTTAATACCCATCACCGGGCTAACCCATCCCCGCACCCCCCTCCCCTCTAGAACCCTCAGTTTGTTTCTCAGAGTCCATCGTCTCTCAAGGGTCATCTCCCCCTCCGATTTCCCCCCCTTCATTCTTCCCCTCCTGCTATCTTCTTCTTTTTTTTCTTAACATATATTGCATCGTTTGTTTCAGAGGTACAGATCTGTGATTCAACAGTCTTGCACAAATTCACAGCACTCGCCATAGCACATACCCTCCCCAAGGTCTATCACCCAGCCACCCCACCCCCCCCCCCCCCCACCACTCCAGCAACCCTCAGTTTGTTTACTGAGATTAAGAATTCCTCATATCAGTGAGGTCATATGATACATGTCTTTCTCTGATTGACTTATTTCACTCAGCATAACCCCCTCCAGTTCCATCCACGTGGTTGCAAATGGCAAGATCTCATTTCTTTTGATGGCTGCATAATATTATTCCATCATCAGTCTTGATCAATATGATTAGGTCATTTTGTAGCAAAGCATTTGCCAAACACACTTGATGCTCAAAATAGTAAGTTGGTCCTTGGCGATTTCTCCCTAACACACAAGAAGGTTATTTGTATTTGAAAAAGCAGTGCTTTTCATAAAGGGTTAGAGGCTGTGATATCAGAAATTGGGAGGAAAAATATTTTTAAAAAACCTCTGAGATGATTTTGATGGATCCCAGTTTCCAATTTTGTCATTTTAAGAATCACTGTGGAGTGCCTAGCTGGCTTATTCAATAGAGCATGCGACTCTTGATCTTGGAGTTGTGAGATCGATCCCCACATTGGGTATAGGGATTACTTAAAAATAAAAAATCTCATTTATTCATTTGAGACAGAACACGAGTGGGGGTGGGGGCAGAAGGAGAGGGAGAAGCAGACTCCTCATTGAGCAGGGAGCCCGATGTGGGGCTCTATACCAGGACCCCGGGATCATGACCTGAGCCAAAGGCAGATGCTTAACCAAATGAGCAGCCTAGGCACCCCAAAAATAATTTTAAACAAAAAAAAGCACAGCCTTATTAGTCTTATTTTATTTTATTTTATTTTTTTTTAAAATATTTTTTTATAGATTTTATTTATTTATTTGAGAGAGAATGAGAGATAGAGAGCACGAGAGGGAAGAGGGTCAGAGGGAGAAGCAGACTCCCTGCTGAGCAGGGAGCCCGATGCGGGACTCGATCCCGGGACTCCAGGATCATGGCCTGAGCCGAAGGCAGTCGCTTAACCAACTGAGCCACCCAGGCGCCCTTATTAGTCTTATTTTAGAAAACAGAAGTATCCATCATTTCTATCCGAGGTTGTAGGTATCTGAAGAGTTGTTTCTTGAGAACGTAACCCAGAGTCAACGCATATATTGATCAAAAAGTCTGATGAATACGGCTATAGAGGCAAACACTCTGGATGAAATAATAAACTCTTGACCCAAACCTGAGGAACTGAACCTAGATGATCTAGATCCTGTTCCCTTATTACCTTGAAGTCTGAGTTCAATATTTTGACATCCCTTTGACTGTGGTAGCTGTAGCAACCCTACATTTCAGCATGCTGACCAGCAAATAATAAAAAATAGTATAAACAGTAGCTTACTTGATAGTACATATTGAATTAAGATGATAGCTGCTGTCATTTCCTAGAACACTTGGAAAGGACCTGGGGCTAGGGATTCCAGCCCAAGTTCTGTTTCTAATAACATGAGCAGGCTGAGGTTCCTCCTCAGTTGGCTTCACTGTCAAAGTAGGATATCAGTGTGTGCCTATCACTGTTTTAAGGTTAGAGGAATTGTCCCTTGAAGAAGCTTAATTGAGGAACTTGCTGCTGGCTGGCTTTGTTGGAAGATCATGTGACTCTTGATCTTGGGGGGTCTTGAGTTCCAGCCCCATGTTGGGTGTAGAGATTACTTTAAAAAAAAAAAAACAAAAACAAAAAACAAAAAAACCACCACCGAACTTTAAAACAAACCGAAAAAAATCTTTATATCTAAGTTAATAGAATAGATGTAAGGAGGAGACTTCAATGAACAGGAGGAATAAACATTGAAGAAGCAGCGGAAACAGTAGGTAGAATTGAGAACTAAGAAGAGAATAGAGATAAGATAGAGAAGATTTCTTTGCAGAAAAGACACTGATTGAATCAAAAACCCAGAAAGGACTCCTTAAGCTCCTGGGACTTTGAGTGTACTTTTCCGAGGGTTCTCTTTAACTGCGGTGCCCAGCTGCTGTTTCAGAGTTGCATCATCTTTTGTTTCCTATTAGGTGTTCTATTATTCAACTGGAATCTTCAGAGATGCAGGTATTGAGGAGCCAATCTATGCCACCATCGGCACGGGTGTACTTAATACCATCTTCACTGTTGTCTCTGTAAGTTGGATGGTGTGATAGTTTGGGGGCAGGGGGAGGGGCATTCTTCCTACACATGTTCCAAGATGGGGTTTGTGTCCTTCCATCTCCCTCCCTACCATCATTTAAACAGTTGGGTTGTTTCGTTCTTCTTTGGGAAAGAAGAGCGATTGAATGATGGGTATGAGTAGTCTTCACTCTCTCAAGCAAATACGAAGTGGGTGGGAAAGAGAGAGGTATAAAAGGGATTTGTAGGATGCTTGAAACTCAACTAAAAGGGGACGTGTGACTCTACCAAGTATCCTGCCATTGGTACGGCACATTCTGGTAGTTCATACAGTTTTCAGGAAAGGGAAAGGAGAAATTTTATGTTATATTATTCTTCTTTTAGCTGTTTCTGGTGGAAAGGGCAGGGAGGAGGACTCTCCATATGACTGGCCTTGGAGGGATGGCTGTTTGTTCCATCTTTATGACCGTCTCATTGTTACTAAAGGTGCGTGCTCTTTGAGTAAAGGAAACGGAGGGGAAGGAGGGAGAATAGGTCACAGGTGACTCTGACGTGGGTGGGAGAGGTGAGTGGGAGAGCCGTAAAGTCCCATGCCCAGAGATTTAAGAAAAATGAATCCTCAGAGATTGGTAACTAAACTGCTGTAATTCTTAACATCTGTATAACATAGAGCTTGTAAAATACCTTATGTAATTTAATTCTTCAAGTATTCTTGAGGTAATTATTCCCATTTTACAGGTGATGAAATGATCTTAGTGCAAAATGACACATGGTGTGAGCAGAAGGCTAGGATTCAAAAACCCAGGCCTTTTGACTCTTAAGTCAGAGAACTCCATTGTACCCCAGACAGAGGGAGCTTTCGTTATCAGTCAGTCCTCATCGCTGGGAGGCTAGGTCTATCCAGGTCAAGCTGTCTTGACTACTAACTTTCCTTTGTTCCTCCTCATTTAGGATAACTATAATTGGATGAGCTTTTTTTGCATTGGGGCTACCCTGGTCTTTGTGGCCTTCTTTGAAATTGGCCCAGGCCCCATTCCCTGGTTTATCGTGGCCGAACTCTTCAGCCAAGGACCCCGCCCGGCCGCGATGGCAGTGGCTGGTTGTTCCAACTGGACCTCCAACTTCCTGGTTGGGCTCCTGTTCCCTTCAGCTGCAGTAAGTAAATTCAAACAAAACTCACCAAGTCCATCTCAAAACCAGCTCACTTAAGCCGACAGGTTTAAAATTTGGTAACTGACACCACAGAGGGTTAGATATCAAGTGGAGTTTGTTTTTGTGGGTTTTTTTTTTTTTAAACATTTTACTTACTTTAGAGAGAGAGATTGAATGTGACAGGGGGAGGAGCAGAGGGAGAGGGAGAGAGAGAATCTCAAGCAGACACTGCGCTAAGCACGGAACCTGACCCACGGCTTGATCTCCTGAGCCAAAACCAAGAGTCGGACGCTCAACCAACAGCACCCCAGGCACCCCAGATATCAAGTGTTTTTTTTTTTTTAAGATTTTATTTATTTATTTGGCAAAAAGACAGAGACCGAGAGTGTGCAACCACAAGTAGGCAGAGCAGCAGGCAGGAGATGGAGAAGCAGGCTCCCCGGTGAGCAGAGAGCTGGATGAGGGGCTCGATCCCAGGACCCTGGGATCATTACCCAAGCCGAAGGCAGACGCTCAAGCATCTGAAGCACCCAGGCACCCCCCCCCCAGATATCTAGTGTTTTAAACCAGATTTTTTTTTATTTTCAGTGGCTTATAGGAAAAGAAGGAATGGTAGCAAAAAAAAGATTGAAGCAGGAGGGCAAAACTGGGAACTTTTATTTTTTTAAAGTAAACTCTACCCCCAACAGGGGGCTCAAACTCAAGACCTGGAGGAGATGAGAGGTCGCATGTTCTACTGACTGAGGCAGCCGGGTACCCCAAAACTGGGAACTTTTAAAAGACCACTGGTCTGGGCGCCTGGGTGGCTCAGTTGGTTAAGCGACTACCTTCGGCTCAGAACATGATCCTGGAGTCCCGGGATCGAGTCCTACATCGGGCTCCCTGCTCAGCGGGGAGTCTGCTTCTCCCTCTGACCCTCTTCCCTCTCGTGCTCTCTATCTCTCATTCTCTCTCTGTCTCAAATAAATAAATAAAATCTTAAAAAAAAAAAAATACCGAGGAAGACTACATGTTCTTGTTAAATGTGGAAGGGTTGTGTCCCGAAGCCTACTAGAAATGGATGGGAAGGGAAGGGGTTTGGCAATGACCAGAATTTACACTGACACTCCTTTTCCTTTATCTCTTCACTAGTTCTATTTAGGAGCCTATGTTTTTATCATCTTCACTGGCTTCCTCATTGTCTTCTTGGTCTTGACCTTCTTCAAAGTCCCTGAGACTCGTGGCAGGACTTTTGAGGAAATCACACGAGCCTTCGAGGGGCAGGCTCGGGAGGCTAACAGAGCTGAGAATGTCCCCACCGTGGAGATGAACAGGATCCAGCCCACGAAGTAAACCCCACCGTCTAAGCCATGCCTCCTTCCCGCCTCCCTCCCAACATGGAAAAGCAACCTCTCCCCAGATGAGGGAGAGACCTCATCAGCTTGTAACCCAGGACTGTTTCTGAATGCTGCTACTTGATTCCTTTCTCATCCCACAGAGGAACCCAGTGCAGGAGTTAGTTGTATCTTCAATGGCTTTCGAAACATTTCATTTCTTGGACATTCTCTTCTGTTTAGGAGAGACCAAGCAAACCTACCTTCATTTCAGGAGGCATTGGCCACTTGCCATCTGACAGCATTGTCGTCTCTTCCTGCCTTGGGTTCTAATAGGGCCTCACCAGGGCCAGTAGGGGGGGGGAGTAAGAGTGAGGTGCAGTTTCCCCGACCCCCGACTTCCCAGGAAGCAGATCTATGAGTGTGGAGGGCAGAGAGGGATTACGTAAGAGCACCTCCCTCGCTTCCATACAGCTCTGCAGAGCAAATTAACTTGAGTTTTATTTATTTTATCTTCTGGTTTTATTGCATAAATATTTATTTTTTTAAGTGTAAAATAATTTTATGAAATAAAACAGAACGAAATTGAGGATGGAGGGAGGCGCTTGAAGAGAGGTTCTAGGGTAGAAGATTTGATACTGGAGCGGTCGAGGTGCAATAAGGGGAAGATTCAGGGAGAAGTATAACGTGTTCTCAGAGGGTACATGATGGGGTGTGTGAAGTTTGCACATTGCCTCTTAACCTTCAGGTGGAAACTCTCAAGTTTAATTTCTCAGAAAAGTGATGTGCCTGTTTTAAGAAGCTACTGGTTACCTTTAGAACTTTTTTCTTTGCTTAAAATAATACGTAGTGTTACTTGAAATCTAGGGTTATTAAGATGGGCATTATAGCTAATGGTGGTGGATGGGTTCTAATTTTGGTTGGAGTCCAGAGAAGGGAAGGTTATTTCTAGATATCCTTTGTCCCCTCACTGGACAAAACAACTTCTTCCCCTTATAGTGGACTCACTGTGGGGGTGGGGGTTAAAGTATTCCTAATACCCGCCTGGTGGGAGAACCTTCCAAATGAGGAACCCAAAATAGTGGTTCTTGGTAGAGGTTCTGTATTTCTCCATTTTGTTCGTTAGGAGATTTTAGTTGTTGATATTTTGTTTTAAGCCATAGCTTTAAAAGAATTCAGAGGAGAATGTTCATAAACTAACTTGGAATTTGTAACCTCAGCTCTGGGAGAGGATTTTTCCTGAACGATTATTATCTAGTTGAAGTATGTTGTCCCTAAGGGTCATCGCATGCTTGTTCTGTTGCCATATTCGCATAGTATGATGTCAAGCGCCCTTAGGGGACCATACATTTGGGATAATGCGAGTAAATGTGCAGTATATCCCACACTTGAGAGAGTATGAATGTATGTACACTGTCACTTTGCTCTGGTGGAAGTAGATGACTGGTAACTTGTGTCCTTAATGTACCTACAGCCCCCTTTTGAATAGAATGTGTTCAAACTCATCTCTCTCTATATAAAGAACACTGCCTCTGCTGGGTGGAATTTGCATCTACGGTTTGATTCCAGACTTCAGAGTTCAGACGCATCTGGCTACCTTTCCTTGTTGGACAACTGGGGGGAGAACTCCTTAAATCTTCAGATTGAGGGTGGAGGACTCTGCCTCCCCCTAGACCCAGACAATGGCAGTATGAAAGGAGAATGTGAGATCAGAACATGTGGCCTCCTGGAGGGGAGTCATAGGG